TTTGAGAAGACCGTCCACCTTCTCTGGCAGAGCCTGTGTGGTGGATTCAAACCACCAAAGATATTAGCACCACCTTTGAGTTATCAACACCACTCCCAAAGAACGATGACTTAAGATGTCCTAGTCTCCTGCTTTCCACCAAAATAATATTGCAATTCCATTTAAAAATCAACAGGTTATTTGGTTTTATATTCTTTTTGAAATTGACAAATTGATTCTAAGCTGTATATAGCAATGCAAAGGAACAAGAATAATCCACACTATTTCTTAATGTTATAATATTGAAGACTCAGCTTAGCTCACTTTAAAATGATTTTTAAAGAGCAATAAACAATTCAATTTGTCTCTGGTGAAAGTAAGACATATAGACCAAAGGAACAAAGTTGAGTTTATAAAAATAAGCGCACAAATAAAGGATTAATTAATTTTCAACAACAGTGATAGGCAATTAAAAGAGATGAGGAAGAATATTTCAACAATTGGCACTATGTTACCTAAATGAGTCTATAAAAAGAACAATTAGATATGTCTTGGAGAAAGTGCAGCCAGAGTGATCCTTGGAGGCAAAGATGGTGAAGCTTTATCTCATAAATTTTGGGCTTGTTTCTTTGAGAGGTTATTCCTTAGATAATAAGGAATGCTTGGAAAGGTAGAAGGAATGTGAAAAAGAGGACTACCCTCAACCAGATGGATTGACACAATGACTGTAGCAATGGACTTGTATGTGACAAAGATTGTGAGGATGGGACAGTATAGGAGAGGGTGCAGATTGGTTGATAATAGAGTCAGTATGAGTCATAGGCAACTTGATGGCACCTACAACAACAACAAACCTTAACTGGAAAGGAACTATAGACTTAATTGCACAACCTAAGTCTATAAAACTTTTAATAGAAGATATATAAGAAAGTCTTTGAAAAATTAAATAGGCAAAGTTTTCTTAGAACAAAGATAACATGAAACAGGAAGGAAAAATACTGATTAATTGAGCTTTGTAAAATTTTTTAAAATGCTCTACTTTCCAAGTACAATTCAGTAAATAACTTCTCTACTCATAATCTTTAACTATTTTATTTCACTTTCACTTTCAAAAGCCAAAGTCTTCGTAATGCTCTAGAATTGTCCACCACAATTTGACTGCCTTCACACCTCTGATTGTGTCCCCTGCTAGTTTTTTCCTTAATAACTTTATCTATAATGGCCTCATCATTATACCTCTGACATGTAAAACATTTCTGCTTTAGGAACTTCATTTTTTATTCCTTCTACTTAGATTAGATTAGTCTTAGGTGTCTTATAAATGGCTTCCTTGCTTTCTCTGATACTTGCTTATCTACTGCTCTCTAAAGAGGTCTTACTTCTCTCCTCTCTATAAAATTGCTATTACTAGAAAGCTCTGGTGACCTAGGGGTAAGAATCTCTGCTGTAATCTCGAAGGCAATGGGCTTGATTCCTTGCTTCAGCAGGAGAAGGCTGGGCAATCTCCTTCCCATGCAATTACTTCTGAAAATCCACTGGAGGATCAGCTGTGGGTCAGTTTCGACTCGATGGCCTACAACAACAATGCCTACAAGAGCTTGAATTTGTGGAATTGTGCAGAGCTATGCTGAAGAAAGTATTGAGTGGCTTGTGGACAGGATTAAAAGAAGCTAATGCAGGCAACATACATACATGTCGGGTCAAGATTGGTGGAAGATCTATCAACAATCTGCATTATGCAGATAACGCAACCCTGCTTGCTCAAACTGAGGAGGACCTGAAGCACCTGCTGCAGAG